AATCACCGGTATTATAAATCCCGTTATATTATTGAAAAGAAATTGACTCGATATAAATACAATTGTATTAAATATGTCTTGATTTTGTTATTTTAAACGTCTTTTCATGCAAAGAAGCTCAACCATGTCCATGCTTTATTCATTCATGAATTAAAAGTAAGCAATCCACATCCCGAAAATCTACCGATTTGCCGTAAACAATCGCAGAAACTTGATATACCAGGTCGATGTACCCACTCTTTGAATTTACCAATCAATTTAGTGAGTGCACGTATGTGAAAGTCAAAATGCTATAGTCATTTTGGGTGCATTCATTTTTCATGAAACAATTGTAAGTAATTTCAATCCCGAAAAACCATAAATTTTCCGTATAAAATCGAAAAAATCAAAATATGTCGACTCCCTGACGTGAAAATTAAATTATACGTGTGAAAATACTTATGTAACGATATGCTGAACAGAATGCCTGCCTCTCCTCGTAATTTACAAACTGTTCCTATACTCATCTCGAAATTTTTCTCAGAGCTTTGTGTTATTATCAGCTTCCATTTAAACCCCGGTTTGATGGCCGAATCGGCTGCCCAAAAAGCAAGCCATTTTTGAAGGGCTCTATGAGAAATTCGTGATATTATCAGCTCTCAGGAAATCACCCTATGGGTAAAATTGCTGGTATAAATTTTCGAGTGCTTAAAATAATCGTATTCAAGAAACTAAGGCATTAAACTATGGAGTCAATTTCGTTTTAATAATATAACGGGATTTACTTGTCTTCAGGTCAAAACTCATACAAGGAAGCCCCTTGCGAGAGGGTAATTTTTTGTAATTTCACTCAATTTTTTCTCCTTTTTATAATTGAATTGCTTGTCACATTCTGAGGTCAATCATATTAAATTGTAATTTATACATTTCTTTTTTCCCCCTTCATTTTATTTTTTGTTTGAAGAAGTTTTGTTGATTTCTTCGGATTTCGAATACTGTAACTTCTCTTCTATTTGGCCGATTTTTATGAATGAGACCTCTTTTAATTCGTGTTTCAACGGAGAGTAAGGAAAAAATTGCTAAAAACTCGCGAAACAATTTTTTTTGAAAATTGGGCGAATCCTAGCGTGACGGTGAAATGGTTAATGAAGCGTAAGTAAGTGGGCGAGGGGCTGAGGATCCCGGCCTCGCTTGGCGACCGTCATTAGCTATTGTTCGTCGAGACGCCGACGCGGTGATCAGGAGCGTGGGGAAGAGAGGGGTAAGTAGATTCCTGTATGAGCCACGTTTAGCTAATGGTCTAATGAGTCTCGAGGCTCATCACAGATTGCACTTACACAGATTGCACTATCAGAGCACGGGTACCAACTTTTGAAAAGTATAATAGAGGTGTGGAGATCTGTCAAAGCAACGTTTTGAACAAAACGGAGGAGTGAAATTCTCATTCCAAGAGTGCCGACCTGCTCAGCCATCCTCGAATCAGTTCGCTTGATTCTGCTTATTTATGCATATTTTAAATCAGCGCGTCGTACTCTTAGGCTTTTTTTAAGAAAACCAAGTAACGTAGACTCTTGGTATTCACTGCACATAAACTAGAGAGCCCCAGAATGAGAAACAACTTTAAATCATAATTATTGACGGATAAATAAACTTTTTACACGCTTTGGAAAATCTCAGAAGTTCGCGGTAGTCACTTTTCGGTAAGGAACTAAGGGACTCGGTTATTGTATCGAGCAGGGTTCGAAACGATCGCAAAGGCGGTATACTACGTATACGCGCCAAAATCTGGGACCAACACTGCAAGAAACAGATCGGTCGGATAGTGCTGGGTAGTTAGTTGTATAGTAGTTATTGGAGGCAGCACTTTAGTCAATTTTTAGGCGTGTTTTTTTTTTAGTTTTGAGTACATGACCTCGGGATAAAGCATGCAGTACTCACAAACAATTGCATGTAAATTTTCAAAATTGCATGCACGCCTACCCGCATTCAAGCTGTCGAAAACTTTCTTCAGACAGGCTCGCGTGTGAGTAGGTTCTGCAAAGCATCCGTTGACGATCGATGTGTAAATTTTTTTCAGAAAAAATCAAAATCACGAATGGAATTCATTTGATGGGCAGGTAAGTACATCTTTTGAGACTGGGTTCAGATTTCAAATATTTTTGTCCAGAGCAGGTAGGTATGCACTATTGCACTGTCTATCCATCCATACCGGTAAACGTAACTTTGAGGATTAGTACTAAAAGGCATTTACCTGAAAACATTGTTTTAAATCTACAGGTGTACACAAGAGGCGTTTCAACGTATCTTAAAATTTCTAGTAGAATTTCATTACAGTCACGTGACAGTAACCGTAAATAATAGCTGTAAGCGCAATAATTCATTTATATTTTCATTTCATTTAATTTTATTTTACGTGCCATTTTGTTTGAAACTGTCTTAATTTATTTAAAATATTTTTTACGGATAACAAGTTCTCACAAAGTTTCCAGACCTTTGTTACTGACTTATTTTTATCATTTTCATGGGGGTGTATATACGCTGTGAATGGTGAATATCAAGGACTACTGCATAGAAGAAAACACATAATTTCTTCTCCTTTCGTTTCTACAATTCTCTCTAACTCTCATCAATACTGGTATGTCCATCTCCAGTCATGTACATTATTTCTTTTTCCAGAAGCTCAGAGGATTTTAATTTGAGAGAAAGTTGAACTTTACTGAAAGCTCGATAATCAGCTGATTAAAAATTAATTAGCAAAGACTGATTAAGTACAGACACATTCCCGACCCTCTGCGGCTACTTCAGCCTCCTCTCTATACAACTCCCATCTCAACAAACCAGGCTACACATTAAAATATCGCATGATACTATATGTGTAACGCCACATTTTCCCCGTTTCTTTGAGGAACACACTTGATATAGGATGGTGTATCAAAAGCGCGATATTTTGATAGTGGTATAGCAATCGTTTCACTGCCCATTATCAATGTCTACAAATTATGTGACCTTTAACATTGAACTTTTTATCACGTGAGTATTGATTAAGACTCTTTTTAGTTGTTAAATTGTATGCCGTCAACGAATCGTGGTGACTATCACTTATACTAATAAAGTGCATGCGTTAACGAATGTGTCCGCAATGTTAATATTTCAGTCAGGTTTATTTGTTCGTAAATGGTGTTTGGTTCCTTTCTCTAGTTGAGTGATATTTAAATATAATCAGTATTAATATTCATCCTAAATTTTTAAATCTTATGTGAGAGTAAAATTAATAAAAGTTTACATTTGTATCACATCTTGAAAATAGATTTGCCGTGAGGGGTATTGTTTTATTGTGATTTGAACTTCGCTGAACCGGAAAAAAGTGTAATCTTCCAAACCAGTGTTCTAACAGCATTTCAAAAATGATCAAGGCTGGAAACATTATTTCATTGAATTCTCGGTTGGGAGCTTTTGGAATTTCATCTTCGAAAAAACATTTAAAGGTTTGCAAAATGAGTAACATCATGCTTACTGTTAGGTAGTTTTATCCAGCATGCGTGATTGTGATGAAAGTATCACATAGGTATTATCAATCCAGAAGTTCACATTTCATAGGATTTTTCATGCATTGGAATTTAAACTAACTGCATAGGCAAGTGCAGTTCCCCAGATTGACAAGAGATGTACGTGCAGTAAATGTATGGGAATAATAAAAAAATAACTAGCAGAATTGTATTGTTACTATTGAAGTTCACTCTAAGTTTAATTCTTAATAGGAAAATGTTGGTGAAAAGGTGGCAGGAGCAGCCAAACTGTCACTCAAACAAAATAATTGTCACTGGCACCAGAGAATGCATTTAATGCTCACCATGCTTTAATGAATAATAATTAAGAATTGATAATAAATTAATTGTTTAATCCATTTTTACGAGGTTATTTAGTTTTAAAAAATGTGATCAATATGTGTTTAATAGGGCCGGATTTACCTACTTGCCGCCATGAGCCGCCTGTATTTTGCCGCCTCCTTCTCATTCATTTTGAAACATCAATAAAAACCAATTAAGTGAGCATGCCGGAGAGAGAGGGGTGCATAAAACGCGTTTACTCGTGTTAGAAACATTTTTTGCGAAAGTCCTATCAACACTCCTATCAAAAATTCACGGAACTTTGCGCAAAAGTTAAGTCCCGTTAACCTATCTCTGTGTGGACAAGGCCTTCCATTTGTAAGACATGAACGAAAAAATTATGAAAGAACAAACATAAATGTGGTTCAATAATTTTAACTTCCACCTCCGCGCCGCGCCGCGCTGATCGCACAATGTTTGGCGCAATGCGTGAAGTATTCCTACAGTCTTGTAGGCGCTATGTGTTTCACGCTGACCGCTGCTGAACGCACTGTGTTTAACGCAATGCGTGAAGTATTCATGCAATCATGTAGGTGCTGTGCGTTACACGTTGACCGCTGCTGACTGCATTGTGTTTGACGTTATGCATGAAGTATTCATGCAGTCTTGTAGGCGCTAATATGTGTTTCATGCCGACCGCCGCACCCCGCAGAGGGCTTCTCCTTTTCATCGCAAGTCCTTGTCATCATTGCTCTTTGCGCCGCGCGCCGCAAAGCTTCAAGCCAAATTGCGTGTGTAGTCTCTCTCATAACTCGACTTATTAAAGGTGCTGGTGCTGTCTCTTGTATCACTTCAAAACGACAAAATTAGGAGTTACCATACTTTCGGGGAATGAAAGATTTTGTTTTTCTCGTTGATAATTTTTTTTTTTATAACTACATTAAAAAAAGTGGCAGAATTTGCCGCCCCCTAAATTTGCCGCCATGAGCCGCGGCCCATGTGGCCACCCCTTTAATCCGGCCCTGGTGCTTAATATGTTCAGTTTCCTTTAAAATAGAGACGGAGACGACATGGTTTGCATAAAAATTTCAACTGAAAATTACATTCAAATATGACAAATTTTTGAATCTATTTTTAAAAAATCTAGGCAGTAACAGTTAGCCAGTATACAGTCAGGCTCTACCAATGTAAGACCGTGTAATTGTTCGAAATATTTGTATGCACTGCCTTCATTTTGCGCGCACCTGCTTGTGATATACTGAGATGGTTCCATTTTCAAATTTTATGGAACAAATGTGACATTTGTGCAATACTTTTAAAGTTATGCGAAATTTGTTCATGCTAATTGTAAATACTCCTAAGGTCATGCTGCACTGTCTTCCCCCCTCCCCCGAGTGCTACTTTTGCCTGCTAGAATTTAGTTCTATTCATCAATCATGTTTTTCAACATTCACAGATGAGTAAGAGGATAGCTTCCCCGTTGACAGCAGCAACATTCGTTCGGAAAATGTCCTCCGCACTCTTCGAGCATCCCGAAAAAACTTCATACGTGAACGGAGCATGGGTGCCTGCAAGTTCGGGTAAATTATTTGAGTGCTTAAATCCAGCCAACGGAAAATCTATCGGTTCTGTTCCCGATATGGACTCCAAAGACACCGAGGTTGCCCTAAAGGCGGCTGCAGAAGCATTTAAGACATGGCAGAAAACGACCGCGAAGGTACGTTTTACATACCTAATTGGTAAAACTAATCAACCACGCCGTAAAATCACAGCTCGCTCTTTGCTTCTTTTTTTCTATCATGCTTTATTTTACTTGCATCTTTTTTGATTTTTTTTTTTCATCATCTCTATTTAACATTTATCATCTTACGCAATGACTTCTTACTCGCTAAATCCGTTACGTTAATGCTAAATCCGTGACGTTAATAACTGTAAGTTGTCAAAATTGTGCTTAATGATAATGCACGAGCCACCCGAAATGACCATATAAGAAATAACGCAACGTAAATAATACTGTATAATATATAATCATCAGCCTATCACATTAATTACTTATAGTACGGTATCATTCACGGAAGATTTTAATTAAATTCACCAACAGGGTCTCAAGACAAAGCGGCATGTCATGGTGTAGCTTCAGATGTGCATCAAACAATACATCATTTTAGAGAATACATTTTTCGATGAAAACCAGGGGCCCCTATCGAACAGAAGTTCAAACAAGTATACGTGGCGTGATTTTTAACATTTTCAAACACTTAGGAGTACAGCCGCTGTCTCCATTTTTTTGCATTTTTTTTGTATTTTTTAAGTTTTGTGTTTTCGTTTTTCAATGAACTTTTGAACTCTTATGAACCGTATTTGCCGATTACACATCATCACTCTCAAATCCATTCAAATGTGATGGACCTAATTTTTCTCTCGTCAATCGTTTTATCTTTTCTCAGGAGAGGGGAATCTTACTCAGGAAATGGTTCGACATTTTAGAGCAAAAGAAAGATACCCTGGCTAAAATAATCACACTAGAGGCAGGCAAACCAACGGCTGAATCTCTTGGAGAGGTTGCATATGGAAATGCATTTTTAGACTGGTTTTCGGAAGAAGCTAGAAGAATTAACGTAAGGCTACTTCTTGCATTTGTCATGTTTGCCACTGATGAAAGTAAAAAACACATAGAGCAATTTGCCAACCAGACATAGTAAGGTTGTGCTCGGGGGAGTGCCAAAAAGAGGGAGACTAACCTTCTGACAAAACAAGTTATAAGAGGTATACTTCTCATGTTAGTGACGGCTAATTTAGAAAAAAAAAGAAAGAAAGAAAAAAAAACCTCAGAAATACTTACCTTGAAAAATATTTTTAAGCCGTTTTTAGCAGCAAACTACGTGATTTTTAAAAAAATCAGAGATGGGGTTACCTATGAATGAACGAGTACTGTACCTATTGCAAAGGGGCAGCTCGGATAAATTCTTGCTTTATCAATTATTCTCATGGGATGCATCCGCATCCCATGAGTTGAATCCCTCGGTTGTGAAAGAAAAAATGTGTACCAATATTAAATTGAAATAATTATATTGCATATACCCCGAATAATTTTAATTTTGTTTAGGGTGAAGTTATTCCGAGCCCAGTCAAAGAAAAACAGATGATTTTGGTAAAGCAACCTATTGGAGTTGTATCTTTAATCACTCCCGTAAGTACTATTTTATCACATACTATAAATTACAAAAGCGAAAAAGATGTTGTAAGCACAATCATACTTTAAAATTGAATCTACTAATGACCAGTAAAATCCGCATGTAGAACGAGTTTTGGCCAAACCGTTCTCGACCACTTTCATCGGTGAGTGGACGTACTTACAGAAGACTCTTGCACAAGAGTTGAACTTTTTGTTCAATCATAAATAATTTTAATTATTTATCAGATATTTGAACTACATTTTGCAATTTGGAACTATAAATTCTAGCCTGGTTTAAAAACAACGTATGTGACATTAGTTTCCCTAAGCGCATAAGTGTTTTTTCAGATGAGCTAGAATTTATAGCTCCAAATTGCAAAATGCAGTCCATTTGAGCTCTACATATACAAATCGCATTAAAATTGAGGTTTTCACGACTGTAATGTTTCAAAAGGCATTATTTTTTACTCATTGTCAGCCTTTGCAACCCACTATCGCATGGGCAAAAAAAGGGGACCCCAGGGTTACCTAGCCACCCTCGCTCAGAAATCCACTCGGCCCTTCAGGGCCAGATTTACCTTCTTGCCGCCCATGGGCCGCCTGTATTTTGCCGCTCCCTTCTCATTCGTTTTGATCATCAATAAAAACCATCAAGTGAACGTGCCGAAGGGAGAGGGGTGCATAAGACGCGTTTACCTATTCGTGTCTTATACATTTTTTGCGAAAGCCCTGTCAACACTACTAGCAAAATTTCACGGAACTTTGCGCGAAAGTTAAGTTACGTAAACCTATCTCTGTGTACAAGGCCTTCCATTTATAAGCTATGAACGAACAAATTATGAAAGAACAAACATTGATGTGGTTTAATAATTTTAACTTCCACCACTGCGCCGCGCTGATCGCACTGTGTTATTGGCGCAATGCGTGAAGTATTCCTGCAGTCTTGTAGGCGCTATGCGTTTCACGCCAACTGCTCCTGACCGCACTGTGTTTGGCGCAATGAGTGAAGTATTCATGCAGTCTTGTAGGCGCGAATGAGTGTTACATGCCGACCGCTGCGCCGATTATAAAACAGAGTGGGGTTAATGCAACAAACGTGTTGTCGTAAATTTAGTAATGAGAGGAGGAACATTTTTCAGTGGAATTTCCCTTACGCGATGATAACCCGAAAAGCAGGTGCCGCTCTCGCCGCCGGTTGCACTTGCGTCATCAAACCTGCAGAAGACACCCCTTTCACTGCACTGGCTTTGGCCCACTACGCTCATCAAGCAGGTAAAATAACTCGCGTGTTTGAACTTTTCAATGCACATTTGATGACGAATTAAGTAGCAGTGGCATACTCGACGCAAAATGTATGACTTGCTTGAATAAGTCTGAAGCCCGTGTTTCACGATCAAACGAACTCATCAAATGCAAGATGGTGAAGATGCGCACTGGTTTCTGCGCAATCAAAAGTTGGCGATTCAGATGTTGATGAACAGAGTCCGTGCGCGTGGGGACTTGCGCGAAAAGCAGGACGCATCTCCGCCATCTTGCATTTGATGACTTCGTTTGACCGTGGGGCACGGGCTTTACCTCGCATCTGAAAAAAAAGAACGTAAAAAAAAAATCGTGAAAGTAATGATAACTGCAGAAATATGTCTCTCATTTGCGCCTAGTTATTTTGTTCGAAGATGAAGTTCTATCATTCACAGATTAAGTTACGTACACTGAAAAAAAAAAAAAAAAAAAAAAAAAAAAAAAAAAAAAACTCATTTGAAAAAGAATGCTGAAATAATTATAGCCAGAAAATAATAAACTATGATGTCTAATCGTGTTCAGAGCTGAGACCACTTTGTTATGAAAAAAAAAACTACGGTAAAAAAAAGCAACAATATTAAAATATGTAATGATATTCTAATACATAACCAGGACGACAATGAGTGAGGAGAACTCATTGTCAGTTTAGAAAAGCTGTGGAAGACTCATTTTTAGAATTTTAGTTTTGACATTTTCATCACTTTCATGAAACCAAATTTTTGTCATCTAGAAGCTTCATAGAGCTGATTAATTTTCATCAGGTATTCCTAAGGGCGTCCTAAACGTAGTCACGTGTAACAGATCAAACGCACCCCAGATTGGCAAGATATTAGCGACCAGTCCCATCGTGGCAGGACTTTCATTCACAGGTAATCATAGATTTCCCCACTAATTTTTGCTTTCCAACACCTACAGCTTTCTGTGGGTGGATTTGATGAGATGTATCACACATGCATTGACGATGGTACAAATTTACAAGAGCGACACTTGTTGCATCGGGAAATTCCATAATGCTGATTTTAGTCGATTAAATAAAAAATAATCCCATTACGTCGAGAAAAATTTCCTCTTTGATCAACACGAATTCCTGTTAAAGATGGCGCAACAGGAATTGTTCACCGAAACAATAGAAAACTTCTTTATTTTAGACAATAATGCAATTAATTCTTAAAGACACCTTGTCACTTCATTCCCGGCCAGGCGACCCGAGTTTGATGGTCTCAAACAATGGTTGCCTGGGACTGGTTCAGTAGGGACGGAGGGGGGGTGGGGCTTAAAAAGCGTGGGATTAGCCCTTGTGGGCTATTTGAAGTAGTAAAAAAAAAAAAAAAAAAAAAAAAAAAAAAAAAAAAACAACTTATATTATAGATTATTAGTGAATCCAACGTCCATTTCTGTACCGAAATATTCAACAGGAACATTTTTCTCGGTTTACCTAATATTTACGACAATACGTTACTGAAAATTATTCATCACCCTCTCTCTCTGTTTCTCTCCCTTCCCCCTTCATCCCCTCTTCAATTTTCTGTCTCTTTCTCTATCATTTCCATCTCACCGTAAATTTGGACTTGAATCAGAATATCGTAAATAATAGATAATGGAATGATACAACTATTCAAGCTTCCGTGTATTGCGCAGTATCATTCTCAATTGAAGGCGTTTTTTCTTTCCTTGAGTCAGACTCTCCTTCTGACGTCACTCCTCACTCCTTCCTCTCTCTCTCTCTCTCTGCCTCCTCTCTCCCTTGCTACTACAAGAAGAGGGCTATCTTGTGCTAAACTTAAGGATTATTTTCAGGATCGACGGAGGTTGGGAAACTTCTCTACGAGCAATGTTCCGCTGGAGTGAAAAGAATTGGATTGGAGTTGGGTGGCAACGCTCCGTTCATCGTCTTTGAAAATGCAGATTTGAATGTTGCCGTTAACGGTGCTATACCCGCAAGATTTAGAAACTGCGGCCAGGTATGACAAGCATAAAATTCCTCAAATTTTATTCTCATTTGCAGAGTGGGGCAAAATTTTTCATCCAGGACATCTGGAAGAAAAGGAGCTTATTCATATGGACGTGTTTAAATCAAAAGGAACTAAATCCATTCTGACTTGAGCCCTATCATGCATGTATTCCATTGGATCTTAGGGATCATGTCAGAATGGGTGTAGTTCCTTTTGATTTAAATACGTCCATATCATGCATCAGTAACGCCTGGAGAATTCCTAAATTTGCATTAAAATACTAAAAAAAACCCGATTCCGGGAAATGACAGATTAAGATAGATATGTCTCAAAACAGCGTTAAGTGATCTGCAAAATTTAAAATGCCGCTTCTTCGGTTTGGCCATTTTACACATTTTTGTTTCAAAAGGTCTGTAAAATACTCTGCTAGATAAATATTATTATACACAATATATCACAATGGAAAAAAATTGAAAGGAACAATTAACTTTTTGCGTTTTACGAAACTGTTTCTCTTTATTAGCCTTTAAGAGCATGCATCCACTGGATGAAAATTAGTTTGATTTGGCAATATACTGAAGTTTGGAGTAATTTTTGTCTTCAATTTTCAGACCTGCATTAGTGCGAATAGATTTTTAATTCATGAGGCAGTTTTCGACAAATTTGTCGATATGTTTGCTGAAAAGATTAAAAATTTGGTTGTTGGAGACGGATCAAAATCTGAAGTGAATGTGGGACCACTTATCAATAAAGCTCAATTCACGAAGGTAAGATACAAAATAAGAGCACAAGGGTAACAGACCCCCTTTCGAACGAATAGCTTTATTTTCCAAGCTGTATCTTAACAGCGATCAAATTTGGATTTCAAAATTATAGAACCTGTTCAAAATACAGGAGAGCTTTATGGGGCCAGTAAATTTTTAAAAATGTATTGACTCTACCACTGCAAAGTTTTAAAAAAACTGTTAGCTTCATGACACGAAATCTCAACAAATAATGACAGAAGTTTTGTGAGGTTATCGAAAAAGTTTTTGACAGGCAATGTTTGATAAATTTGCTTTTAGAAACAATTTTTTTTTTTTTATGTGTATTCTACAAAATATTTATTATTCACGGGTAAAATTAATGGCGTCTTAAAATAAACAAATATTTGCCGTGCTGGTTAGGCTGAAGTTTCTGTTTTGTTGAAGTTACAGAAAATATCATGAATTTTTAAAACATCACAATTGACTAGTGTAATCTTATATTAATGAGCCAGGCTAAATGGCACACTGGAAGTTGATTTTATTCAATCTATGTTTAAAAACAGCTTTGCTCGATTGTTTAAAAATAGAAAGAAAAAGTGAAATTACAATTGTCGTGCCGTTAATTTTTAACGGGAGATCAAACAAGACTTCCTTTTCACTGTCTGATCTGGCAACCTGTAATATTATTGGAAACCTCTTCTTTGGTAACGTGAATCAGGTATTATAAGATAAAACAAGAGCAAAGAATGTAGAGTAGATCTTTAATATCTGACGAATCTGATCTCATATTTGTTTTTTAGGTCTCCAGAATTTTAACGGATGCGAAAGAGAAAGGAGCTAAGATTTTGTGTGGTGGCAAACCTGCCCCACAACTCGGAGAACTGTTTTTTGAGCCTACCCTTATCACAGGCATCACTCCTGAAATGGCCTGTTATTCAGAGGAAATATTTGGACCCCTTGCCATTTGTATTCCGTGAGTATCAATTCATTCACAAACAAATAAGTCAACGGTAAGGCGCAAGGATGCGTAAATTGCACGCAAAATACGATTCTTAATGTGTCGGCTGCACACACGCCAATTCAAAGTGACGTCCATATTATTTTAGCTGCATATACATTTACGCTCGAAGTCTACGTCAAAAATGGCCAGAAGAGAATAAGCTAATGGCCACTAACCTTGAGAAGCAAGTAACTTAAAATAAAATCGATACACGTAGATTAGGCTTAAAGAAACTGTATTCCTCTTGATGGAAGGAAGAATCAGGTTACTTTGATAACGACTTATGTAAGAACAAATTTGTTAGCGCTGCTGACTGTTGGTAGAGAAATCTCGATGGCAAAATGGTATCCCCTAAAGTTTGGCTATTCATTTATTGCAGTCGCTGTGCAGCGTTTCTACAAAATCCGTGTTTTGAAGTCTCCACTGTATTTTGCATAGCTCGCGTGTAACATACCTTAAATTATACCAATGATAGCCAAAGAGGATAACTAAACATAGGGGCTAGACCCCTGGCCGTTGCACGTCCCAATCCTCAGAGGGCGTTTCGCACCTGAAACGATATGAACTGTCCAGCGCTGAGGAAGCTCTCATAATTGATACCGTTACGGAGGGAATCTCCTACGTTATGAGAGAGTCCACCTCAATAAGTCTAGCCCAGACCTACCGTGCCAGGCTTCTTTCCCAATCATCCCTGCGGTCTGCGACTTCGTTTATCTTACATTAAGAAAAAAGCATGGTGCGGTATAAACCTGAGCCATCGTGTATAGAGGTGCACCTCTATTATAACGTAGGGGATCCTCTCTGTAACGGCTTAAACTTTGAAAGCTTCATAGAGTTTGTTTCAGAGAAAACCATTGGAGCCATTGTCTTTCTTGAAAATTTTTGGGAAATGGTACTTAAATCTCAAATCACCTTGGCCTGCAAAAGCTCCGTTTAAGTTTCCTCTGTCAGGCCCATTTTCCCTGATGCGTTAAATGTTATTAATAATAATTTGGCACGGATCTCAGGCTCATTATTCCCTGCTGCGTCAAATTTTATTAATGTCACTCTGCTATGGTCGGATTTCTTATCTTTATTACAGCTTCAAAACTGAGGATGAAGCCGTTTCGATAGCGAATAGTACGAGGCGAGGTTTGGCCGGCTATTTCTACACATCGGACATCAGTCAAGCATGGAGAGTGGCTCGAGACCTGGAAGTTGGTATGGTTGGCATCAACGAGAGTCTGATTTCTTCAGCGGAGGCTGCCTTCGGGGGAGTCAAGGAGTCCGGGCTTGGAAGAGAGGGTTCCTCGCACGGGATCGAAGAATATGTCTACATC